GGAGAGCCGGAACAGAGATGTGAAGACACTTCCCTGGAAGGGCACAGTGACAATCCCAACAGGATGAGTTTCAGCAGCATTTTCTCCCGCAAACCAGTGAGCCTTGTGAGGAGTGGTGGGCAGGTGCGCCTCACCAGTTGGAAAACCCAAAGGGCCAGATTCTACCCACTGGGGGGCCATCCAGAGCAAGCTGTTAAGAGTCTCATGTGGCCGAGAACTTGCCAGAACACTTCACTCCACACTCCCAGTCTGGAATTAGTGTTGGCAAATGTTGCCTGGGGTTAATTAAGCGTATTAATAAGTGTGACAGAAGGCGTGCCAGTTCCCTCCCATGGTTTAGTAGAAGGTGGAGAGGGGGGAGCCCTGCCAACTCATGGCAATTTGAGCAAACTCCAGGAGACCGCGAAGGAGAGGGAAGCCTGGGGCGCCATGGTCCATGGGGTCGCAAAAAGTCAGGCACGACGTGGTGACTCAACAACAACAACAGCGAGGAGGTGGAGAGAGGGGAGCCCTGACAACCCACAGCAACGTTCTGTAAAACTAATCACTCCAATGACTCATATAATAAAGATCTGACACATGGGTTGGATATCTGAGCTCTGCGAGGACAGGGACCAAGTCCCACCCATCTGGTGTTCCCAGCGCCTTCCAGCGCCAGGCTCACAGTGAGACACACAGAAACTCCCCCCGCCTCCCCCCGCCCAGCACTCTCTACGAATTGAGTGTAAGAGCCTTCTGTTATGCCCTGGACTGTCTAGAAGAAAGGATCATACCCACAAAAGGCTTCTTATTAGACTATTCAGCACATGGGTGCATGCTTGCTAGTTCACTTCAGTCGTGTCCGACTCTGTGTGACCCCATGGACTGTAGCCGACCAGGCTCCTCTGTCCATGGACTTCTCCAGGCAAGAATACTGGAGTGGGTTGCCATGCCCTGCTCCAGGGGATTTTCCCGACCCAGGGATCGAACCCAAGTCTCTTATGCCTCCCGCATTGGCACGTGGCCCTGGTGGCTCAGATGGTGAAGAATCTACCTGCAATGTGGGAGACCTGGATTCAACCCCTGGTTTGGGAAGATCCCCTGGAGAAGGGAACAGCTACCCACACCAGTATTCTGGCCTGGAGAATTCCATGGACAGAGGAGACTGGCAGTTTACAGTCCATGGGGGTCGCAAAGAGTCGGACACGAGTGAGCAAATTTCACTTTCACTTTCTTTACCACTAGCACCACCTGGGAAGCCCATTCAGCACACACATAGCCACGTAAATATAACAGAACATGGATAGAACTCATATGCTAGAAACTATAAAAGCTGATATAAGAAACCAAAGAAGCCTTAAATAAATCAAGAGACCGTATGGTCATGAATTGGAAGACTCACAAAGTTAAGATGTCAATTTTCCCTTCATAGCTCTATGGATTTAACACAATTCCAATCAAAATCCCAGCATGATGTCTTATAGTTATAGACAAACCGATTGTAAAATCTTAATAGAAAGGCCAAGAAACTAGCAAAGCCAAAATTTTGAAAAAGAAAATAAAATTGGAAGAATAACTCTACCTGATTTTTAGATTTTCTAAAAAGCTACATTAATCAAGACAGCATGATACTGGTGAAGGGATAGATACATATGTCAATGGAACAGAACAGAGAATCTGCAAACAGACTCTCAGTAACGGCCAAGAGATTTTTGACAAAAGTGCAAAAGTGATTCAAAGGATAAAGTATAGCCCTTTCAGAAAATTAGGTTGGACAATTGGACATCATGGGCAAAAAAAAATTTTTTTAATGTTTTTAAGGTGATCTAAACACACATCTTCGATCCCTGGGTTGGGAAGACTCCCCTGGAGGAGGGCATGGCAACCCACTCCAGGATTCTTGCCTGGAGCATCCCCATGGACAGAGGAGCCTGGCGGGCTACAGTCTATGGTGTCGCAAAGAGTCAGACACGACTGAGTGACTCAGCACAGCCCAGCAAGCATACATCTTATACCCAAAAATAAATAAATAAATAAAGGTTATAGATCTAAATATAAAGCACAAAACTTCTTAAAGAAAACATGGAAGAAAATCTTTATCACCTGGATTAGGCAGAGTTTTTAGACACGGCACAAAGCGCAAGATGCATAAAAGAAAATAAGGACAAATTAGATTTCATCAAAATTAAGATGAAGACTTCTGATCTTTGACATACAGTGGTAAAAGAATATAAAGACAAGCTGCAGATTAGGAGAAATATGCCAATCTCATATCCAATAAAGAGCTTCTATCCAGAATGTATCAAAAAGCTAAAATCCAGCAGTGAGAAAAACAAAATGAAAAATGGGTAAAACCCCAACCAGCCCCTTCTCCAAAGAAGATACAGAGAAGGCAAACATTCAGGTGAAAAGGTGTTCAACATCATCAACTGTTAGGGAAATGCAAGCTAAAACCATGAGGAGTTGGTTTTAAACACCTATCAAAACGGCTAAAATAAAAAATACTGACAATACCAAATGCCCGTGAGAGTATAAGAACTAGAGGTCTCATATGTTTCTGGTAAGATTACTAAATGGTGCAAACACTCTGAAAAATCCTGCATATCACAACTAAAAAAGATCCCACGTGCCAGAACAAAGACTGAAGATCCTGCGTGCCACAACTAAGGACCAGAGCAGCCAAATAAATAATTTTTTTTAATTTAAAAACTTTCAAAAAGAAAGAGTGGCTGGAAATTTTTCCAAATTTTATGAAAAATAAACTCACAGATCCAAGAAGTTCAATTACTCCAAACAGGATAAATATAAAGAAAACCACACCAAGGCAAAACATAAGGGCTGAGAAGAGGTAAGAAGAGCCTTAAAAGTCATCAGGGAAAAAGACACATCATGTACAGAGGAACAAAACTTAAAATGACAGTGAACAATGAAACTACATATTTAAATATTGAGAGTGGGAGGATTGTCAACCTAAAATTCTATGTCCAGTGAAACGTCTTTCAGAAATGAAGGTGAGGACTTCCCTGGTAGTCCAGTGGTTAGGAATCCGGCTGCCAGTTCCCAGGGAACACCGGTTCAATCCCCGGTCCAGGAAGACTCCACATGCCACGGAGCGACTAAGTCCAGGTTCCACAACTGCTAAAGCCAGCATGCTCCAGAGCCGGTGCTCACCAGTGAGAGGAGGGGCCTCAATGAGAAGACCACGTACTGCAACTAGAGAGCAGCCCCTGCTCACCACAACTAGAGGAAGCCTGTGGGTAGCAATGAAGACCCCGTACAGCCAAAAAATACAATACTTATTTGATTACTTTTTTAAATGAAGGCAAAATAAACAAATACAAATTTGAGACATGCAGAACCCAAGGTCATTCATCATTGCTTACTGGCAGACCTGCACTGTGAGGAATGTTAAAGAAATTCTTCCTACAGAAACCATAATGAGGGCTAACATCAGTGAAAAGGAGAGCGTAAGGATATCTGAACGGAGAAGGCAATGGCAACCCCACTCCAGTACTCTTGCCTGGAAAATCCCATGGATGGAGGAGCCTGATAGGCAGCAGTCCATGGGGTTGTGAAGAGTCGGACACAACTGAATGACTTCACTTTCACTTTTCACTTTCATGCATTGGAGAAGGAAATGGTAACCCACTCCAGTGTTCTTGCCTGGAAAATCCCAGGGACGGTGAAGCCTGGTGGGCTGCCGTCTATGGGGTCGCACAGAGTCGGACACGACTGAAGCGACTTAGCAGCAGCAGCAGCAGGGATGTCTGAAAGGCAATGAAGACCCTGGCAGAAACTATCAGACTCAAGCTGATTGGAACTCTGGAAATCAACCAAAGACGACCAGCAATTCTAGGAGCATTTATTCCCAAGAATGGATGAATGTCAATAACAGCAGTGTGCATTATCATATTTTAACTTATTCTCTACCCATATTCCTCTCCCCAGCTCCTTTCTGTGTCTAAATATCTCACAGTAAAATACTAAGTTAAACAACAAATTATTTGCATATTCTTTGTAATTTCTCCAAAAGTCTAAAGTCCCTGCTTAACGGACAAGAAGACAGCTTTCTCCCAGACCCATCCTACCTACCCTGCATGTTCAGGAGTCTTTCGAGATTGGCCCGGTATATTTACCCCCCTTCCCTCTCTGGCCACCCCTGGCCCAGGCCACATTTCCCTTCCTGACGCTGCCCCTATCCAGTAACTTGGTCCTCCTGGAGCTTTCATCCCAGCTGTCCCAACCACCATGGCACTCCTCTGCCACACCCCAGAGCACCCCTCACCAAGTTCTCTGCCCTGCCTGGCCCTGGCCGAAGACTTCCTGCTTGTGGACACACACCAGGAGCCCCTTGCAGGCTGGTGGGACATTGCCACACACAAGTGCCTCCGACTGCCAAATGGCAGCCATCTCATGATTGGTGTGAACAGCGGCAGTGACAGCGACGCACGGGGGCACTCAGGGCTCACACGGTGGACACACTTCCCGCAGGCAGCTTCACTTGTAGCCTTGGGCCAGCCCTCTAAGGGACAGTTATCACCCCATTCTGCAGATCAGGAAACTGAGGCTCGGAGGTGGGCTGTACCTTGGCCTCTGGGGGGTAGGTTGAGATCTGACCTCTTGTCTGAGTCCAGAGTCTAAGGAGCTTCTTATGTTCTGCTCCACCCTTGGCCTCTGAAGCTGTCCCAACCCCAGCGCCTGAGGACTGCATGAAACACAGGTGCTCTATCCCTATCATTTCCCGATTTCCCATCAGGAATCTTCGTTCCTCTGTGACTGCACACCAGATAATTTTCACGGGGGCTCAGAGTCAGGGCTGTGGGTCTGCAGAGCTGTGTTTACATCTCGCCCAAACGAGACACTTCTGTGCCATGACCTGCCACTTTCCCAGGCCTTGACTGAGTGTGCTTTCCCTATTGCACTGTTTGCTTTCAAAACATTTCTGTTTCTCTAGACTCACTCATTCCCAGGCCCTCCTGAGGCTGCCAGGCTCCCAAGGAGATGTGGGCTGTGGGCCACGGATGCTCTCCTCAGCCTCCCGCCCCTCGGGCCACGCCTGGTGGAGCCCACGCCTGGTGGAGGCCGAGGCCACAGCTGCCAACCCAGAGCAGGGGTGCTGGCAGGGCCGCCAGGATGCCCAAAACTCTTGTGAGGGTGTCTTCAAGGGTCCCACCGTGACCATGCCGGCTGTGGCCAGAGGCCATCCCTGGATGACCCCCCAACTACTGCCTTCTTCTCCTGTGTGGATAGCCCAGCCCCCCGAGAAGGCCTGCTACAACTGGATCCAGAGCAACAAGAGGGAGAGCCCCCACCTGCCCCTGCAGGCTTCAAGACACAGCCGAGTCCTGGGAGGGGCCATCTCGGGGTCCCACCTCCGCGCCCCAGGTGACAAGCCCTCCCAAGGGGGCAGCCTGGAGATGCCGCAGGGAGCCTGTGCTGGGACCTCGGCAAGTCACATGGTCTCTGAAGCTCCGGGTCCTCACCAAATGGCGTGGGACAGTACTAACCCCCAGCCCCACACAGCACTGCCAACACGGTCTGTGTCCAAAAAATGCCAGGCCCGCTTGCCACGGATGTTAGAAACATATGGGTTGTGTGGGGCTCACTGACCCCTGCACCAACCACTGAATCCATGTGTGTGCCTGCTAAGTCCATTCAGTCATGTTCTGCTCTTTGCAACCCCATGGGCTGTAGCCCGCCAGGCGCCTCTGTCCATGGGCTTCTCCAGGCAAGAATACTGGAGTGGGTTGCCATGTCTTTCTCCAGAATTAACGTACTAAGAGCTATATATTACTAGATGCTCATTAAGTGTCTTCGCATCCACCTGGAATGACACAGGAAATTCACGCAGAAACAGCGTCCACTGTGCCCCGGAGGACACACACACCCCTCCCGATCTGCGCCTCTGTGGCTTCAAGCTGATCTCAGATCACAGACATGTGATAAGGCGCAGAACTCCCCTGGTGGTTCAGTGGTTAAGACTCCACGCTCCCAAGGCAAGGGGGCTAAGTTCGAACCTTAGGGAACTAGATCCCACATGCTGCAACAAAGAACCAGTGAAGCCAAATAAATAAGTAAAAATAAATATTAAAAAGTAAATAAAGTACATCAGTCTGGACTTGGGGTGAGGACCGGAAGGTGCTCGGATCAGAGCTCCCCCTGCTTTGAGAGCCCTTGATCACACTCCCAGTGGCACTGAGGGTGGGCCCAGCAGGTGGACAGGGAAACAGGAAGCCTGTGCAGCACCCCTCAGGTAATCAGAGACCCCTCCCAGGGTGTGGACCAAGGAAGGTGAGGAAGCTCGCCCTGGACCAGAGGCAGGGCAGATGCCAAAATGCTCAGCAGCTCCAAAGCCTGGACTCAAATGACCGGAGCTCGGAACAGAGGCTCTGCCTATGGGAGTGCTGGAGGTGACCTGCCCAGGGAGCTGGGGTCAGCCTCCTCGCCCACATCTTCCTTCCTGCACCGACTCCAACCAGCCTCTCTCCAAAGGGTAAGTCAGCGAACAAAGGCACAGGGACCCTCTGAAGGCGATACCTCCGGATGATGCCGTGAGAGGTGGTCATTCTCAGCAAAAGAATGGTCATCAGCTTCCTACATGGTCACCTGGAAGAATTAAAGAAGAAGCCAAGGCAGGACCACGCACTACCCCCACCAGGACTCTGGCAAGCCAAGACACGCAGGAGGCTGGCCCAGAGGGCAGGGAGTGCTGCGTGCCCAGCAAAGGGAGCCGGACCTGGCCAGGTTAGCAACTGATGGGGAAGGAGACCAAAAGCGAGACCAGCCGGTAAAGACCGGCAGCCAGTAGTCTGTCCTTTCGGCTCGAGCGCACACGCCCGCCAGACATCGCAGGTCTCACTCAGGGGGTCAAACCTCCAGGGTCACAGCCTCCCCACATCACAGCATTACCACGGGTGACTTGAGAGTCTTCTGGCTCCGGGTTGCAGCATCTGAGAAAACATTTTCAGTGAAGCCATGCCTGCCCCTTGACCCACCAGCATCCCCGCCGCCCACTTAAACATCTCCAGGTCCGTGAGACCGGCGTGTGCTTCAGCGGCCGCAGATCCCTGCAGGCTTCCAGCATGAAAGGTTTACGGGGCTCCCTTGGGCTTCAACTTTCAGTGGTGCCCAGAAGTTTTTAGAGATCTATTTTTAGAGTTGACTCTGTGAGAAGTTGCTCATCAACAGCTAAGTAAGCACAGCCGGGGCCAAGAGCATGACCTGGAAAGCTTTCCGTCCCTCTGTCTTCCTTCACAGTCCCACTGGGCAGGACACACCGACCTCTGCTCCCAGGGGTCATCTCCTCGCAAACGAGATAGCCAACAGGACCTGGCCTTTGCCCCCAAGGAGACTAACTCCTCTGCAAGAACCCCAAATACTGCACTCCCACCCACCAGCAGGCTTTCAGCAGAAGCACCTGCCTGAGGGTGCACAGGCTGTCCTTTCCATTGCCAACACCACCGACTCCAGGGCCCTGGAGGCCCAAAGAAGCAGCTTCTCTGTCTGAGTTTCCAGGTGCCCTAGGGGGCCAAGGAGCACAAGAAGGATGACTCTGGATATCCGGCCTATGTTGCAGTTTGGCCCCTGCATCTTGCTCTGTGATCATGGGCAAGTTGCTTACCCTCTCTGAGCCTCAACGTCCTCCTCAAAACAGGAAGATGACAGAGAAGCTGCTGGAGGGTGGGAGTGCAGTCCAGCCGCCAGAAGCTTAGAGACATGGCTTGGCCACACCCTGTCCTGGGCCAGGCTATAGGAGAGGTTAGTTCCTCACCCCTTGGCACCTTGCCTGAAGGCTTGTGCCGTTTGCTCAGCCGCTCAGTCTGTGTCTGACGTTTTGCAACCCCATGAACTGTAGTAGCTCCTCTGTCCATGGGCTCTTCCAGGCAAGAATACTGGAGTGTGTTGCCATTTCCTCCTCCAGGGGATCTTCCCGACCCAGGGATCAAACCCGGGTCTCCTGTGTCTCCTGCATTGCACAAGGAGTCTTTGCCTGCTGAGCCACTGGGGAAGCCATGCCTGAAGCCTTAACACCAGAGAAATGTCTACCTCTGTCCTCCCACCCCTCCACACACACACACAACCTCAGCGGCTGGCTAAAGCCGCACCAGGGCCACAAGGCAGCCTCCCGGAACCTGACCTCGGTCAGCTGCCCCTTGACTTCCAAGCTCCTAAGAGCCAGGGTGGAGGGGAGGTCCCAGTCCCAGATGATGACAGAGACAGCCTGCGTGGAAACCACCAGCCTCAGCCAGGACAAAGGTCAGGCACAGGGCACAACTTGTTCCGAGCTCTGGGCCTGCCTGTCTGCGGCTAGCACAGCATTGAAACAGCTGTCAGCAGCTGCGGCCAGGCAGGCAGCATCCCTGCCCCCAGCTCCCACTATCCTGGAGTTACCTGCCTCCAGGTGGGCACACCGTCACCCCGCTCCTGGCTTTGCCTGCCTCTGGGCCCTGAGGACAGCCCCTCTCCGACCCTCCTGCTGACCTTGAGCTTCCCCTAGAAATGCCTAGAAAAGCCGGGCCGATCCGGGCTTCCTACTGGTGATGTCTGTGTGAGTGGCTGGTCTGCTCTGACTCCTGGCCGGCAGCCAGCTCTCAGGAACTCACGACAGAACAAGAAGGGACTGCCTTTGCCACCCCTAATTCAAGCCAAGAAAATACCTCCTTGTCTCTCTCTGGGCAGGTCCTGCAGAGCTCAGGAATGAGGAGCACTCTAGCTGGCCCCCAGCACCCCCATAAAGCGATTGGAGGAACTTCAATCCACAGTATGTGGGTCGTTCACTGTCCACCCCCCAAAACCCCGGGAATTCTTCCTCCCAGCTTTGCAGCCTCCTCCATCTTCCTCCCCTCCAGCTACGCCTTTCCAGTCTCTCTTGTAGCGTCCCCAGGACCTGGCCCTTAAGTATGGGCGTTCCCTCATGGTTCAACCTTGATCCTCTTCAGAGCACCCCCCCTCCCCAGGCATCCGCACTGGCTGCTTCAGGAACCCCCATCTGTCTCCCCAGCCCCCCACCTCTGGGCTACAGGCCCCATTCACCCTTGGCTGCCAGCTCCGCCTAGACCGGCCGGACTCAGGAACCAGTGACCTGCAGACCTGCGGAGATGTCACCCTCGGAGTCCTTGACCTCCAGCCACCATCAGCTGGCCCGGAAGGGAGGCAGTGACTTGCCCGAGCCTCAGGGAGGGCTCAGAACACCACGCTGGGCTCCTCGCCCTCGCCAGGTCACCCGCTGTCCCCTCATCGGTGCCAGAGTGACCTTGGAACCTCCCGGTGGCCCTCGCTGGGGCCTGTCATTATGCAGCGGCAAATTCCCTAATCGACACCCCCTTGTCCAAGTCCCCCCACCCCTGCACACAGCCAGCCCTACCTAAGGCACAGACTTCGCAAGCCACTGCTCCCCACTGCGACAAGGCCTGAAACTCTAGGCGTGGGTCCAGTTTGGGGTCCGCAGCTGCCCGCCCCCTGGGACAGATGGGACCGTCCCCTCTACCCTCACAACACTCCCCACACACACACACACTGTTCTGGCTGCATTCACTGCTATGAATGTTAAGTACCTTCACCTTCTGAGGATCCCCGCTCCTAGCAACTTCGAAGGCTTCTGCATTTACCTCCTTCAAACTCTTTCTGGAATCAATGGATTCCTGAATAAATACATTTTCAACGTATTAAGATTGCATTTGTCATGTAAATAAGATTTCTCAGGCCACTGATCTGACCATTTACATGCAAAGATTCTGCTTTTACACATCTATCTGTCCACATATTTTTATGTTGAAATCATTGTAGCTGGCTAGGTAGCTCACTGGATGGATGGATAGATGAGTCACCAGGTAAACAGATCAAACTTAACCCTCTAGATGTGTTCTGAAAAAGTCATCAGTATTTTTTTTTTCTAAATCAAACCAAATTTTTAATTCATCTGGAAAGCAAGTGCCCACATACACGCTAAGTCGCTTTAGTCGTGTCCAACTCTGTGCGACCCTATGGACTGCAGCCCGCCAGGCTCCTCTGTCCATGGGATTCTCCAGGCAAGAATACTGGAGTGGGTAGCCATTCCCTTCTCCAGGGGATCTTCCTGACCCAGGGATCAAACCCAAATCTCTTATGTCTTCTGCGTTGGCAGGTGGGTTCTTTAGCACTAGTGCCCCCTGGGAAGGCCAGAGAGCAAGTACACACACTTTAATTAAATGTCTATTTACACCAAGGCTTTTCCAACACTTGACAGGCTCAGAGTGAGTCACATTTAAGAAGGATGTCAGTTCCGTCTCCACCCGATACCCCTTCATCCACCAGACTGGCCTTCTGTAGCACTATCTTCTTTGCTGCCCAAACTGAGGTTAAGACAAAATTCAAAGACTCTCTCCTTGGATGAGATCAGTTTTCCACCACATGCCCCTCCGCCAGCTGCTCTGACCTTCACTCCCCAGCTCCACCCTCTCAGAAATCTCACACCACCCTCCACCCCAGTGAAGAAAAGGCCCAACCTGGCCGACCAGAGCACGTCTTCCCCAGGCGGGCAGAGCCACCTCCGAGCTGATATTTTCAACAAGAAGGTCATAAGGTCAGACTTTTCATTGATGACGACACCTTCTCACGTGTAGATCTTCACAGCAAATGCTGGCCTGTTTGTTATCTCAGTGGATATACCCGAAGCCTCCCCCCACCCAGAGATGCATCTCCGTGTTACAGGTGATAAAACAGAGACAGCGACAGGAAGATACTCACCCACATTCAGGTGACGGGTAAGCGCTGAACTAGCTTGTGGTGGGCGTAACGCCAACACAGGGTCAGACACCTATCCACTCGCTTTTCCCGGACACCCCAAATCTTCCTCCCATGTGGCTAGAGTCCGGCCCAGGCCAGTCTCCCAGTCAGATGGCAGGGAACCCCGTGCCCTTCCCCGGCAGCCATCTTCTCAGCGACACTTCAGTCAGGAAGTGCCCAGGGGACCTGGGGCCTCAGAGGATCCAGAGTGGACTGGAGCAGTGTGCTGCAGTGGTCACACACACACACACACTCACACACACTCACACACACTCTCTCACTCACACACACACATACACACACATTCACACACACACTCACACATACACTCTCACGTGCGCGCGCACTCACACACATGCACTCACACTCACACATACACACATACACACTCACACATACACACACACACACTCACACACACACACTCTCACTCACGCTCACACATACACACATTCACACTCACACACATGCACACACACTCACACATACACACACCCACACACACACATTCACACTCACATTCACACCCACACTCACTCACACTCAAGCACACACACCACACACTCACACATACACTCACACACACTGACACACCACTCACACACACTCACACTCACACTCTTACACACACTCACACACATTCACACACACACTCACACACACACACACACACAACTGAAGGAGAGACACAAACATGACAATGAGGAAGCACTTCATTGACCTCATGACAACGAGGAAGCCATTTTCATGCTGTGTGACCTTGAACAAATTACTCAACCTCTCTGAGCCTCAGTTGCTAAAAAAACAGAAAAGCATACCAACTTCCTAAGGTTTTGTGAGGATTAAATGAAAATTCATGAGAAAGGATTCAGCCAAAGATTAAAGTTCAGTTAAATAAGAGGGCATTATCATGATCACCATTACAACATATTTATTATTTCAGAATTGTTAATAAGATTACCACTGTCACAAGGACACCAGAATGTCTTCCTCAAGCAGGTCAGGAAGACCAGGAGATAGTTAAGATGCAACAGAACAGCCAAGATGAATCGTAGGTAGGTCTGACTGGAAGCAGGTCACCCAATTTGACCTGAGGCCTGGGGTGCCTGTCCTGGGCCGGGAAGGCCCCTCTCCTCCCAAAAGACCACCGTGGAGGCTTGAGTCCATCTCCAGAGTGGTCTCAGTCCGGGGCCAGGCATGCTCAGATTGCTCCCCTGCCAGTTCCCTCCCTCCGGGCTCACAGGTGTGCCCCCATCCAGCTCCCCTTCTTGGTCACATGGGGGCTGGACCCTGGGGTCCAGACAGCCAGAAATTCAAGAGTCCCAGCACCACACCCATCCCTCAGACAGCTGCGGTGAGTTCTCTGAGTCCTGGGGGTGTGGATAGCACTGGCGGGCAGAGGCCACATCCAGTCTGGGGTGACCTTCAGAGGTCAGGTAAAGCGTTGCCCCAAAGCCCCGCCCCTCCCAGTGCAGCCTACCCAGCTCAGGAACCCTCCAAGTACCCCACATGGGTTTAGAGGTGCAGAAAGGAGGCCTTCCCAGCACCCCAGACCACAGGGGACACCTCCCTGGGCTTCACCCCATATACAGGCGCCCAGAGCTCCCTGCACAGCCAGAGACCAGCTGAGGCGGAGGGCCGGGAAGGGAAGCGGCCCAGGCCTCACCCAGGGAGTCCCGCATGTCCCCCGTCCTCCGAGAGCAAGAGTGCCCCGCCCCCACTGCATCCCCATCACCTGGTCCAGGTTCCCTGCAGCCCAGGGAAGCCAAGCCAGCCACAGGCCCACCCAGCGCTCCCCACTGCTGCCAACACTCCAGCCCCACGGAGGAAAATCCTTTCCCCTGTGCCCCGGAGCTCTGCTGAGACAGCAAATTATCACAGAACTGCTGAAGACAGTGGAAGGAAACCTGAGCCCAGGGTTTAGCAAGGTAACAGGCCTCTGAGATTCCTTCCTTGAGTCTCCTCCCACCTGGCTCCTGGGGTCCCTGCTCTTGTTCTGGATCTTTCTTAACTCTTTCTTAGCTAAACCAATCAAAGATGCAAAGAGGGCGGGCCCCTGAGCCACTAAAGGGGACACCCCCTCCAACACTGCGATGCTAGCCACTGGGTGTGCCTGGGGTCATGGCCACAGCACTGCAAGCCCAGAGCACCCTGGAAACTGGGAGTCCCTGGAGGCGGTGCTCAGTGAGCGACAAGGGTGGGCAGGTAAAGGCCGGCACCCTCGCCCCTCGGGGGGGATATCTCACACTGAGTCTCCCACAGACTCCCAGGTGCAACCTGCTTCCCAGCTCATGTCTCTACTCTGGTTGGTTTGGTCTGAGATGGTCTCCCAGATACAAAACTTCCCTCCAATCCTGGTCTCAGGATCTGCTTCTCAGAGGCAGGACAGGAAGGGGATGGGGGAGGACAAGCCAAGACCGAAGATGAAGGCTCAGAGGTCGGAAGAGGAAGGACTCCCTCAGAGAAGTGCTGTTCGACAACAGAGACAGAGGAGGTCGCCTACACGTCATTTCATCTTCACCCCAGCCTTTTGGTGGGGGTGGGGGGGAGCTGTTATTATGCCCATTTTTCAGATGCAGAGACTGAGGCTCGGTCAGGTCCCAGGTCTTCAATGAAGGATCTATGGAGCTGGGATTCAAACCTGGGTCCCTGAGATAAAGGGTCAGATCCCTGCACCAGGGGCTTCCCTGGTGGCTCAGATGGTGCAGAATCTGCCTGCAATGCGGGAAACCCAAATTCAATCCCTGGGTTGGGAAGATCCCCTGGAGAAGGGAATGGCTACCCACTCCAGTATTCTTGCCTGGAGAACCCCACAGACAGAGGAGCCTGGTAGGCTACAGTTCATGGGGTTTCAAAGGGTCGGACACCACTGACTAACACTTTCCCTATGCCTAGACCACGGGGCCTCCAGGCAGAGGGTGCAGAGCTAGAAGAACCCATATATCCCCCAGCAATGGGCACATGAAGATAATACGGTTCCATCAAGTCCGTGACATTGACGAGAAGGTGATCAGCAGACAGGACGGCCAGTGTCCTGCCCGCAGCCCCTCCATGGAACGGGCCCCCACGTGCCTCTTCGGCACAAAAACAAAGAGAGCCCAGCTCATTCCCTACACTGAACGGCCTCTCTCCTCTCCTCATCTTAAACTGCGAAGCGCTCAGTTTTGGCTTTAAAAGCCCAGCTAATTAGGAGCATATTTTATTTTCTCAGGGGAGGCAGCTGTGGGATAAAAGTCGGAAGTGTAAACTCTGGTAGTGGATGAATCATTGCACTGCTTTTTATTAATTTTTTTACTGTCAAGTTGTTATGGCTTTCCAAAAATACAGAAGAATAAGGCTCATCGCTCTCATTATTGGTGATGACTGGGGTAGAGTTCAAAAGGCAAAGCCATGGCTGAAATAATCTCCAGGGGATGAAGGGAGGAGTAGGGGAGGAAGATGTTGATCACCAAACACCACATCCGCCGGAGGGCCAAGAAAGCATCTGTCCAAGGTGAAACCGTGGGGAAGGAGAGCATTCTACCCCTGCCAACTTCAAGTTCTTCCATTCCCACAAAGAGTATCAGGGGGGGATGAATGAATGAGATGATTCCACTAAAACCTTCCATTTGACTAAGGAAATGAAAATAATTGAATTCAATGAAATTTAAAATCACTAAATTATTTCATTTAAAATCATTAAATTATTTAATTTGAGATGATTAAATTAAAATAACATGGCCCTTTAATAAGGTGGAATATGATAGAGTCATACACTTAACGTTTGGGAGAACATTTACTAATAACAATAATAGGAAAGCATCTCTTTCTATTATTAAGTGAAAAGCAAATGATAAAACAGCATGTAGAGTAGGGTCCAAGCTTTATCTTCAAGATACAGCATGTACATACATATACATATGTGGAAATATAATGTAAGGACAGGCTTTCCTGGTGGCTCAGCGGTAAAGAATCCACCTGCAATGCAGGAGACTCGGGTTTGATCCCTGAGTTGGGAAGATCTCCTGGAAGAGGAAATGGCAACCCACTCCATATTCTTGCCTGGAGAATTCAATGGACAGAGGAGCCTGGTGGACTACATCCATGGGGTTGCAAAGAGTCGGACAAGACTGAGTAAACAGCAACAACAAATAATGTAAAGGCATGCAAAAATGGTGGGGTGATACATGGTTTGTAATTTCTTCTTTATCTGTATTTTCCAGTTCTCAATATGACTACGGGTTACTTCAGATCAGGGAGAAAAAAAGTTTCTAGTAACAATGAGACCAAATATCATAAAGTAACTGAGAGTCTGACTTCTTTGGTGAAACACAGACGGGACTTACTGAAGCCCTTCTGGGGGCAGGGGCCGGGGTACCTCCTGATGTCCTCAAGGACCGCTGTGAGGGAAGGACAGAGGAGACATGGGCTGACAGAGCATCTTCCCCCAACAGCCTGCCCACACCAGACAACCCTGCACTACCTGCGCTCAGCACGGATTTTACTGCACTGATCAATGTGCCAAAAAACAGTACTTAGTCTTTTTTAAAAGCAAATTAAATCTGACCCTCTGCTCCTGCCCTGCGCTCCCACCCTTGGGCTGATGGCAAATTCACTTTGTCATTATATTAGGGCCCTTCTCGACCGGGCTTCCCTGGTAGCTCAGTTGGTAAGGAATCTGCCTGCAATGCAGGAGACCCCAGTTCGATTCCTGGGTCAGGAAGATCCACTGGAGAAGGGATAGGCTACCCACTCCAGTATTCTTGGGCTTCCCCTTGTGGCTCAGCTGGTAAAGAACCCACCTGCAACTCGAGAGACGTGGGTTCAATCCCTGGGTTGGGAAGATCTCCTGGAGAGGGAAAAGGTTACCCACTCCAGTATTCTGGCCTGGAGAACTCCATGGACTGTACAGTCCACAGGGTCACAAACAGTTGGACATGACTGAGTGACTTGCACTTTCACTTTCTCAGACTAAGTTGCAAGATTTAGCAAAAAGAAGTACAGGATGTCCAGATAAATAACCTAGTCTATCGCATGTGATACTTGTGATATACTTATCCAAAAGTATTATTCATTTTTTTATCTGAAATTCAAATTGAAGTGGGTGTCCTCTGTTTTTTCAGACTTTATCTCTGTTCCCTGAGGGTTCTGCAAAGGCCCAGGGAGGGCCATAGAGCTGCAGAGACAGGGAGGCCCCCAGGCCCCTGACTTCAGAGGGGCAGGGACCTTTCCTGTCCCCACACTGAGTGAGACAGAGTTGGCGGGGGGCATCTTGGTGACCCAAAGCCTTGTCACCTCTCAGGATCCTGCCGGCATGGGGCCTCGGTGCCCACAGCTGTCAGGACTCCATGAGCCATCCTTTATCAGTCAGGGGTCTGGCAGGAGACCACCGGCCCATCAAATCAAGTGACTTGTGTGAGGTTAATAATAAGACCATTTGCAAAGTCATGGACCAAGTGTAGAGAGCCCAGTGCAGCACCCAAAGCTACTGAGCGATTAAGGGAGGGAGTGGCTTCCAGAGCCCGAGCACAGAGACTGGGAAGGGGCTGTCAAACAGGAGCTGAGACCCTCAGAGACCCCCAAGGGAAAGATCCTGGGAATAACCCCCCAGATCTCTCTCCTCCCTCCCGCAGTTCCTGCGGGTGCTTCCCACTGGCCAAACCAACTGGAAGCCAGCAACCTATTGGGGCAGTCCCCAAGGGTCCCCTCCCAGGGGCCCAGAGCAGGCGGGAAGGGTGGTGGAGGGCTCACAGCACAGGGCCCTCGGTGGGAGGACTCTGCATCCCAGCCACTGCTCTCACCGTCGTCACCCTCATCTTCAGCCTCCTTCTGGGAGAAGCCCGCTCCAGTCCCATCAGTGAGCTGGACTAAAGGCCAGAGACAGGCATGGCCTTCAGACAAGTGGTCCCAACACAGGAGGACACGGCAGCCTGAGGCCCTCTTAGAACAGAGGAAGGAAAATGCCAGAGCACAGAGCCCTGATATATATCTCTTCTGTCTTGATCCATTCTGCTCTGTGGTGGACTCCCCCCTAAATCCTGCTTCGAAACAGTTTTGCAGCTAAATAAAGAAGCAAAAACCAGGACTATAAGTGAACAAAACAAATGAACCAACTCAAAGCTAAAGTTCCTACCCCCTGGAAACACATGTGTAAACTAAAGCACTGCGGACAACGTGTCTTTAGTATGAACGTTAATGAGCCAGTCTAAGACAGACCCTGCTCCACAGAGGATGCCCCCCTGGTTTTCTGACCCAGGGGTGGGGCTTATTTTTACAAGTTAATCAGCAAATTCCATTTTCTCCGGTCTCAATAAATGGTTCAGGAATGTGTATCCAAGCCAATCAAAAACAATGAGGTCCCTTCTTCCATAAGAAAGCAATTAGACTCAACATTTCCCTGTAGATATGAATAAGGAAGGATGTAGCCCCAGGAGCTTTGGCACCCATTCTGTGCCTATGAGGAAAGAATCTGCCTGAAAATATACTAATGTAGAGGAAGCAGGGCGGATAGAAGAAGAGAGAAAAGCCAAGTCCTGGTGACATCATTTCAGCCTGGGATCAAACCACTCCTGACACAGTTGGGTTACAGGCACCAGTAGAAGCCCATGTTTTGCTGAAACCAGTCTGGGTTAAGCTTTCTGATATGAGTTAGATTTCTAAACAGCATGATGCATATAAAGAACCAGGAGCATCGTTCCTGCTTCTTTCAAGGCCAAAAAAGTAGAAATCAGCCAGCTTCCTCCGTCCAGCTGGGAATCAAAATAAAGGCCTCTCCTAAAGGGAAGAGGATAGACAACCAGGAGCCTGAGCTCATCACAGGGGCTGCAGGGGAGCCGCTGCTTTGCCAAAGGTGTCAAATCTGCTCAGTCCCTTTCGGAGGAGGCAGGACAGCTCAGTGGTTATGAGCAGGGCCCCAGGGCCAACTGGCTTTGCCTCCCTGGCCAGCTGATCACCTTGGGCAACTTTCTTAACTGCTCTGGGCTTGGGTTCTGCACCTGGGGATAAAAGCAATGCTCATAACATGGGCTATTCAGTGAAGACTGAATGAGATAACAGGTGTAAAGTCCTTAGGATAGTGCTTGGCACACAAAACTAGCCTCACTAAGAGATTTTAGCTGCTATCCTTGTTGTTATTACTTGTTGTTGTTGTTATTATTGGCTGTCCTGTTCTTCATTGCTATGTGGGCCTTTTCTCTAGTTGCGGCAATCGGGGGAAACTCTCTAGTTGCTGTGCAAGGATTCCTCATTGTGATGGCTTCTCTTGATGCAGAGCACGGACTCTAGGGCTCATGGGCTCAGTAGCTGCAGTTCCCAGGCTTTAGAACACAGGCTCAGTAGTTGCGGCACACAGGCTTGGTTGCTCCGTGGTATGTGGGATCTTCCTGGATCAAGGATCAAACCCAAGTCTCCTGCACTGGCAGGCAGATTCTTTACCACCGAGCCACTCGGGAAGCCCCTGCTATTCTTATCAATACCTAAGCCCTCCCTGGGCTTCCCGTATAGCTCAGTTGGAATCTGCCTGTAATTCAGGAGACCCCGGTTCGATTCCTGGGTCAGGAAGATCCGCTGGCGAAGGGATAGGCTACCCACCCCAGTATTCTTGGGCTTCCCCTTGTGGCTCAGCTGGTTAAGAATCCACCTGCAATGTGGGAGACCTGGGTTCAATCCCTGGGTTGGGAAGATCCCCTGGAGAAGGGAAAGGCTGCCCCCTCCAGTATTCTGGCCTGGAGAAATCCATGGACTGTATAGTCCTTGGGGTCGCAAAGAGTCAGACACAACTGAGCGACTTTCACTTTCACTTTCACTTTCAAGCCTTCCTTGGATGTTTCACTCTGGACATTGTCTCCTCAAGACTCCTGCTCACAGGGGCCTGCCCTGCCTGAACCCCACCCCCTCCCCGCAGGCTCCACCTGCGTGACCCTGAACCTGACCTGCTGGGCCGCCCTGGCCCCACCTGACCATCCAGGCTCATACAGCCTCTCCGCAAGTCCAGGCTGTGAAGCTTTTCTGTCGCCAATGACAGAAAATCCTCCACAAACCAGATAATGGAGGAGGTGATTCAGGATTTGGGGTTCTTGAGATGCACAGCCCCCTCATGCCTCCTCTCCTGGCCTTCCTTATGTTCAGATTGTTCAGGCCTTCTGGGAGGTCATTTTCAAATTAAAACAATTAAAAGTTAAAGGCAATTTTTGTAAATGTCTAAAAGTTTTTTGTAAAAGTTTAAAAGGTTTTTCTGTTTGTTTGTTTTTAAAATTAACAAGGATGGGGATTTCCCTGGTGATCCAGTGGTTAAGAATCCACCTTCCAAGGCAGGGGACAAGGGTTCAATCACGGGATGGGAGCTGATATCCCACATGCCACCAGGCAACTAGGCCCACACTCACTGCAAGAAAGAGCCCACAGTCGAAATAAGTGCCCGACGGCTGCAATTAGGACCTGATGCAGCCAGAGAAATTTTTTTTTGAATTTTTAAAATAAAATTGACAAGGATAGAGGAAATAATGATCACTACTATTGTTTCCATCATTATTATAGAATACTGATTAGCTGAAGTTACACCCACAAATAGAAAAATAATGAACATACAACGAGGAAAAATTCATGGATCATGGCTAATATCATTCTTAGAGGAAAAGTTAAAGCTTTCAATAGATCAAATAGAAAACAAGGGAAAAGGGAAGACAAATGAGTGTAACTCAAAGGACTGGAAAAAGAGCAACAAGTTCAAGGTAACAAGAAGGACCTAAGTAAATAAATACGGGCAGAATGTTTTTTAATATTCAGGGAATTCCCTGGTGATTCAGTAGTGAGGACTCTGCACTTTCACTTCAGGGGCCTGGGTTCAATCACTGGTTGGGGAATTTAGATCCCACAAGCCACATGGTGTAGCCAAAAGTAAAAACTGAGATGATGAACTGAAACATGAAACATCATTGAGACAAAACGGAAATGAGGAATGTGATCAAAACACAAATATGCAAAAGATAAAGTGAAAACGGGGAACATCTCAGATATAACAAATATCATATTTGATATTAAATACTTAAGGGATATTATTCACAACCACAAGCCAATACTTGAAAGCAGATTAAATGGAAATATTTCTGGAAAAAAAAAATGAAGTGCCAAAATCCGCTCAAGAGGAAACAGAAAAGTTGACTAGATCAATAGCCACAAAAGAAAGTGAAAACCCAAGAGAAACAACAGACAGACTGTTAGAAGGAATGGGAGAGTTCAGTACTGCTGCCAGATACACAATCATTGCGCAAAAAGCAACCGTGTTTCTATGTTCCAGCCAAAACTAACTGGGAAAATGTAGCCAAAAATACATTAGCATTTGTCACAGCAATAAAAAATAGAAAGCACCTAGGAATTAGCCTAGCGGAGACTGCACAAGATTTCTATGGAGAAAATGTTCAATCTAGTAAAGTCACCAAAGAAAAGGTGAGAAATTAGGAAGTTGCACCCCAATCATATGTCACACAGCTTCGCATCACCAAGGTCAGTGCTCCTCAAATTCATCTGAAAATTAAAAGACAATCCAATTAGGAAAGTTCTGGGAACTTTAACAGGTCGACTTGAAAATTTATATGAAAAACACACATGAATGTCTAAAAAAAAATCAAAGACATGATACTGGCAAGGGAATAGATGAGACAATCTAAGAAACAGAATAGGGATTTCAGAATTATATCAAATGATGTGAACAGCAGAGAGGAAAGGATGAATTATTTAGGAAAATGATACTGGAGATATTAACCTGATGTGTGAGGAAGATTTGGGCTCCTGCCACATATAGACTGTACTCCACATAGAGAACCCTGGGTCCAACATTCCTTCCATACTTAACTCACTGGCTGTATTTATCACCTAAATTTCACTTTGCCTAATTAACAGTCATTGAGAAACCTGTATGCAGGTCAGGAAGCAACATTTAGAACTGGACATGGAACAACAGGCTGGTTCCAAATAGGAAAAGGAGTACATCAAGGCTGCATGTTGTCACCCTGCTTATTTAACTTATACACAGAATACATCATGAGAAATTCTCGGTTGAATGAAGCACTAGCTGGAATCAAGATTGCTGGGAGAAATATCAATAACCTCTAATATGCAGATGACACCACCCTTATGGCAGAAAGTGAGGAGGAACTAAAGAGCCTCTTGATGAAAGTGAAACAGGAGAGTGAAAAAGTTGACTAAAACCCAACATTCAGAAAACTAAGATCATGATATCTGGTCTCATCACTTCATGGCAAATAGATGGGGAGACAGTGGAAACAGTGAGAGACTTTATTTTGGGGGGCTCCCAAATCACTGCAGATGGTGACCGCAGCCATGAAATTAAAAGACACTTTCTCCTTGGAAGGAAAGTTATGACCAATCTAGACAGCATATCAAAAAGCAGAGACATTACTTTGCCAACAAAGGTCCGTCTAGTCAAGGTTATGGTTTTTCCAGTGGTCATGTATGGATGTGAGAGTTGGACTGTAAAGAAAGCTGAGCGCCAAAGAATTGATGCTTTTGAACTCTGGTGTTGGAGAAGACTCTTGAGAGTCCCTTGGACAGCAAGGAGATCCAGCCAGTCCATCCTAAAGGAAATCAGTCCTGAATATTCATTGGAAGGACTGATGCTTAAGCTGAAACTCCAATATTTTGGCCACCTGATGCGAAGAGCTGACTCATTTGAAGAGGGCCTGATGCTGGGAAAGATTGAGGGCAGGAGAAGAAGGGGATGACAGAGGATGAGATGGCTGGATGGCATCACTGACTCAATGGACATGAGTTTGGGTGGACTCCAGGAGTTGGTGATGGACAGGGAGGCCTGGCGTGCTGCGATTCATAGGGTCGCAAAGAGTTGGACACAACTGAGCAACTGAACTGAGTCTGGGTATCTTGGTATGTCTTACAATTTCAACATACATTTGTGATTTTTTTTTTAATTTTTGGCTGAACCACGCACAGCATGTGGGATCTTAGTTCCCAGACCAGGGATTGAACCCATGCCCACTTCATTGGAAGCACAGAGTCTGAACCACTGGATTGCCAAGGAAGTTCCCATTTGCCATACTTTTTAACACTGAATGCATATTAAGCACTTATGCAATCCAAACTTTTCCGTCAAGGAAGAGCGTTTGAAAGAAGCAAGTTCTACATGAAAAGCAGATTCTTGAAATCCTTACACTGAATCACAGAAGCAAATAATCAGGCTGCTTCAAAGGAAAGATAAGCTCCTGGAGCATTCTGCATCTCAAAATGCAGAGATAAACAACCCAGGGTGAACACCTGCTGTGTGGGGCCAACACATTTGCATCCAGGAAGTAAGAGACAAACAAAGGAAGTGTAAGAAAAGTGTTTGCCCTGGATATTTACTTCGTCTAGAACTACAGATAGTTCAGATTCTCACTAAAGCCCTTTAGATGCAGCCATCAATGATATTTAGAAAGTCTTCGTATTATACATAAAGGCAAGAATATAAAAATGGAAAATATTATATATAATGTAATATCACATGATAATATAATTCACAATAATGTAATATGTACACACATACATATTCCAAGGGCTTCCCAGGTGGCACTAGTGGTAAAGTATCCACCTGCCAAGGCAGGACATGGAAGAGATCTGGGTTCAGTCCCTGGGTTGGGAAGATTCCCTGGAGAAGGAAGTGGCACCCCACTCCAGTATTCTTGCCTGGAAAATTCCACGGACAGAGGAGCCTGGCCACAGTTCATAGGGTCGCAGGGTCAGACACGACTGAGTGACTGAGCACACAGCATTCCAAATAGTTTAAGGACTGAAATATGACCGTTAAATTCTAAAGTTAATTTTTTTAAAAAGAGAAAAAGCCTAATGGTATTGAAGTTGGAAAGAGTTTCTTAAACAAGATGCCAAAAGAACCAAGTATGTGATGAGAAATGACAGATCCACCTCCATCAAAATTAAAGATTTCTGCTCAATAAAGAATATAAAACACACACACACACACACACACACAGACAAACTGAACAGATGAGTGACAGACTGGGAGAACTTTTTCTTCAAAGTCTGTCTGAAATTTATAAAAATCATTATGCAAATCATACAAGTAACTCCTACAAATCAGTGAGTGAGAGAGTCAGTCCCTCAGGAAAATGAGCAAACCTATAAACAGACGGTTAACAGTGGGGAGACGGCATCTGATGAGGAAGCGAGGAGGCCTCGGCCGGAGATGTGGGAGCAAGGAGACACCGCCTGCAGCCATCCGATTCTCGGAAAGGGGAAGGTCAATGAGAGCACCGGCAGCTGTGAGCCTGCAGATCAGGGGTCCCGCTGGCTGGCAGGCCAGGCTGCTGCTGCCGGGTTGCAGATGGCCAGGCAGCGGGTTCCTGCTCCGGGCAGCAGCCTGGGACAGGGGGACAGGCGTGGGCTTCCTGAATGTGTGTCCCAGAGCCACGCCCGCAGGGCCCCCGGGAGACGTGGAGAAGGGCGATGGGCACGGCATTGTCCCCGGCACAGGGAGGGTGAGGCCTGTCGCCCAGGATGGGAAGCGGTGCGGGGGCGTGGCTTGCCCCAGGCTGCTGGAACCGGGCACCAAACACTGGGCAGCTCCTGCACAGCAGACTTGAATCTCTCACCATCCTGGAGGATGGGCGTCTGAGACCGAGGTACCAGCACATTCAGTGTTAATTCCGAGCCCGCCTCCTGCTGTTTTCTGGGTGTGACTTCACGTGGCAGGAGGCATGAGGGAGCTCTCTGGGGTCCCTTTTGCAAGGGCACTAATCCCATTCATGAGGTTCCACCCTCAAGACCAAGTCACCCCCCAGCAAAGAACCACCTCCCAAATACCATCACCGTGGCTGGTAGAATTTTAACGTGTGAGTTGAGGGGGAAGCCAGGGGGGATCACAAACATTCAGCCTATGTTTGTGGACTTCCCTGGCGGCTCAGAGGGTAAAGCATCTGCCTGCAATGCGGGAGACCCAGGTTCAATCCCTGGGTCGGGAAGATCCCCTGGAGAAGGAAATGGCAACCCACTCCAGTATTCTTGCCTGGAAAATCCCATGGATGGAGGAGCCTGGCAGGCTACAGCCCACGGAGTCGCAAAGACTCGGACACAACTGAGCTACTTCGCTTTGGCGGGGGGTGGGGGGGGTCACAAACATTCAGCCTATATAGCACGAGTATACTCACGTAATGAAAATTTCACACAGCCATCCAATGTACTGAGCCAGGCTTACATATGGCAACAAGGACCAATCTCAAAAACTTAATGTCTGGCAAAAAAAAAAGTAAGCAAGACAATGAGATTTACGGGCCAATGCTATTTATGGAGATTTTAAAACACATGCAAAATGGCACTCTATTTCAAGGAGCCATTTGTATTTAAATAAATAGATGATGTACTGAAAGTAGACTGGGAGGATGTAAATTAAACACACTGAAGTGGGTGCTATTGGGAGGAGGGAAACAGGAATGAGAAGGGAAGGGGAAGAGGAGATAACAAAGAAAATAAAACCAAGCGCAGCCTGGCACAGCCCACCCGCAAAGCGAGCCAAGACCTCGGCTGGTTCTGGGGCACGTCGGTACTACACGCGTGTGCAAGGACAGTGCTGGGGGCCCTTCTCCACCACAAGAGTGGCGTCTAGAGAGGGACAGAGGAAGTGTGGATCGTACTCAAAGTCAGGACCTGCCTAGCACCCCCTCCCGTCCTTCTGCTGTGCACCAGTCCCAGACCAGCACCTCCAGGCTTTCCTCAACAACCATGGCTCAGACCCCAGGGCCCTGCTTCAGCCCAGAGCACCTGCTTTCTCTACCTGCCTCTGAGGCTTGTGCCCTCTGACCCTGCCACCCACCCCTCCAGCCTCTGGCCAACTCAGGTGAGAAGCCAGAGGCTGGAAGGTCAGCTCACTTCCAAGATCAGGACAGTGGTCTCTGGACTGGGGACCGGGTATTCCAGGCTCTGCCCATGCCGATTCTCAGCACAGTCCTCTAAGAGCCCCGCACACACTGAGGGTGGGCCCTGGACATCCCTGAAGCCAGAGTCCCAGGAAGACGGCCCAGCTAATGCCCTGGTGACCGCCAGTCTCCGCTGCTGTCTGAACACTGCTGAGTGTGCTTTCTCGGTAATTCGATGTCAGCCCTGATAATCAGAGAGACTAGGAATGAGAATCCTCTATTCCAGGGATTGCCAAGGACACTTGGACAGGGAGGGGTGGACAAAGGACCCCACCCCACCGAAGGAGCAGCAGCAGCAAAATGCCAGAACCTTGTGGAAGGGGGCACTGTCAAGGGGTGGCATTAGGCTTACCTTCCCTGTAATTCTTCGCTTTTTTTTTTTTTTTGAGGAGTAATAGTCTCTGTGGTTTTTTTTTTTTTTTTTTTAATTCTTCACTTTTTGAGGATGACAGTCTAAGCAGTGAGGGCCTTGAGACGGGGCTCGTGTACCTCCCAGGGCACACATGCTGAGGAAGTGCCTATGAATCCACAGCAGAAGGAAGGGAATGATGGATGGAAGGGAGGGTGGGAAGGAAGGACAATAAACGATAGAAGGAATGATAGATGGAAGGGAGGAAGGAAGAGTGATCGCACAGATGTACAACAAACTCGGTCTCGCAGGCACAACCCCCAGAGCAGGGCCTTTGACAACACAGTGTGTTTCATGCACACAGCTGGTTATGAAATAAAGTCACTTCATCAGAACATGGAGCAAGCTAAGCACATCCTAGAATTATTCAAGTAAATGAAACTTACCCTTTAAGTGCCGGGCTTTTTATTTAAACCATTTAGGATAAAAACTCATTGTTCATTGCAAAATGGACTAACACTCCCTGCAAACACCAAACATAATAACGATGTTTTCATGGGAGTAATCTGAGCCATGTGTGTCTCGCCTGTTGTAACACCACGAGGACTTGGGGATAATGAAGCCTGAATGTCCACTCGGCCTGAGCCCCAGCCCAGCAGCTTCATCTCTGCCCATCTCACCCCGACCCTTCCCTTCTCTCTCTGACCCCAGCACCTTCTCTCAGGCTCTTCCCTGTCAAGACCATACTCCCCATGATACTGGAATGGTTTGATTCATCACCTGCTTCCATGTACTGCTACTGCTGCTGCTGCTGCTGCTAAGTCGCTTCAGTCGTGTCCAACTCTGTGTGACCCCATAGACGGCAGCCCACCAGGCTCCCCTGTCCCTGGGATTCTCCAGGCAAGAACACTGGAGTGGGTTGCCATTTCCTCCTCCAATGCATGAAAGTGAAAAGTGAAGCTGAAGTTGCTCAGTCGTGTCCAATTCTTAGTGACCCCGTGGACTGTAGCCTACCAGGCTCCTCCATCCATGGGATTTTCCAGGCAAGAGTACTGGAGTGGGGTGCTATTGCCTTCTCCCTTCCAGGTACATTCAGTCAAAATGCTGGGCTCTGTCACCAGCATACCCCATGCCCAGCCCTGTGCAGCTCAGTCTGTGGCGAGAGGGTATATTTAGACAAGGGAAGCTGCTTTCTACCTAACTTGGGGGCCTGGCAGCTATAAGTCTCCCTGCTGGGGAGCAGGGAGGTCCAGCATACCCAGAGAGGGGACAACTAAGCTGACCAGCTCCCTGGAGGCACCTGACTCCTCCCCACAATGGTGGGGCCTACAGAGGACCGAGAACTCTACCGTGGGTTCAGGATGCAGAATCCTCAGCATGCCCTAGGATGAATGAGGATGAAGACAAGGTCCTCAGCTTGGAGAAGACAGGAATGGATGGATCCCAGGACAGTTAGAACTCTCAGCTGAATGAGTTTGTGTTCACAGGAGACAGGAGGAAGGGCAGTCATGTTAGGAAGACCATCACCAGCAAAAAATAAGAGGTTGGATGCAAGGGCTGGGTGCCCAGAGCTGGCCAGCACATGCATGTCCAGCAGCCTCCCCATTGCTCCCCTTGGCTGGCTCTTCCCCATCTCCCTGATCACTTAAAGCTCCATGTACCTGAGGACTTGGTCCTTCATCCTCTTCTCTTCTCCCTCCACCCTCAATCTTGTTAATCTCATCCCTCTTCAGGACTTTAATGTCATCTGTGTATCAAAAGTTCCTGAAATGACACTTCCTATCCTGAATCTCTTTCCTGAACTTCAGGCTCATGTACCCAGCTGCCTACTCACCACATTTCCTCTTGGATGTCTAATAGATATCTCTGTCAGTTAGAGACTGCTGCGTAACAAACAGCCCCAAACTGAGTGGGCCAAAGGAACCATGTCTTGTTTCTCATAATCCTTTTGTTCCGGAGCTTGGACAGGGATCATCTGAGCGGTTCTTCTGCCCCATGTGATGTTGACTGGAGTCCCTCCCATGGCTACAATCGTCTGAGAATGCAACTGGGGCTGGAATGAGCAAGAAGGTCCTTCTCACTGGTCTGGAATTTGTTGGCCCAGCAGTCCACAGGCTTCTCCTCCAGAGTTCTTTCTCAGCCTCCTTACAGCACAGCAACTGGGTTCCCAGACAGCAAAAGCAGAAGTTGGCGGGCCTCTTCAAGATGAGGCCGGGAACAGACACAGCATCATCTCCCCCCAAACTACTGATCAAAGCAAGCAACAAGACCAGCCCTAATTCAAGGATGGGGGAAGGCGTGGGAAGTAATGGCCCAGTGGCACGGGCGACAGAAGGGAAGGGATTGTCGGTGGCTCGCTATGGACCACCCAGATGACGTCTACTCCATCACAAGTCCTGCTGCTTCAGTCCTAAGAACATATCTGGAATCTCATCCCTTCCCCCCACCACCACTGCTCCCAACCTCACCTGAGTCACCAGCATCTTTACCCTGTTTCCTCACCAGCCTCCTGAGTGGCCTCCCTGATTCTTCCCTCGGAGTTTCCTACCAGCATAGCAGCCAAGTTGACCATGGTGTACTTTAGGTTGGATAATGTCACTTCTCTGTTCAAACCTGTGCTTTCCTATTTCATTAAGAGGGGAGCCAAAGCTCTTACCGTGGCCCCCAGAGCCCTACACTGCCTGCAGACCCCATGCACACTCTGGCAGCACTGGTCAGACCACCATGTGCTTCCCTGACTGCCCTCCAGCCAGCCTGGCCTTTCGTCTGAAGAGTACCCTGCAGTCCACAAAGCATTCTCTTAGCAGGAGCAGCTACATAATTTGCAGGGCTCAGTGCAAAATGGAATTACAGGTCCTTGTTCCAAAGGAGTAAGAATTTTGAGAGAGGCGAGCATTAAACCAAGGGCAAGGAAAAGGGGTAGAAGGTATAAAACAATGTAAATCCCAGCCCTTGGACCCCAGCCCTGGGAGCCCAAAAGTCCTGCTAGGACTCCGGGAGGAGCCGAGCAGGATCGGCGGGGGTGGTGGCAGAGGGGCCCTAATTAGGGGGCTCACATAGAACCTGCAAGTCGGGCCACCACAAGCCCCAGCCCCAGGTCAGGACAGACTTAATGACCTGGGTTGGAGTCACCACCAACATAAGGTATCTTGTTCCCAGCAACTTTTACAAGGCGTTTATGGCCCTGGGACACCTCAGGCCAACACTTGGCTTATGG